TCAATTGTCTAACATTAAACATAATGTCACAATGGTTTCAACAAAACTTTTTTTCAATTATCATAAATAAGAAATTCTTATTTGAATTTGTGATTTAAGCTATAAGAAATTCTTGCATCTATTAGAAACACAAATATTAGTACTTAAGTCATCTTATCATGTATTAGAAAGAATTTCAATAAGTAATTCGAAATATACAGAAGCCAAAAGCTTACCATTCTTTTTCGAATCATTCTTTATATTTCATGTACTCTTTCTAAAAGTGTTCAATACATTAATGACACTTTTTCATTATTACATTCCTTTCTTTTATTGAATTGACCTAAATCTTTTAATTTTGGGTGTTGCTCACTTAATGCCTTTTCAAACTTATTCCCAAAATTTATTTATACCTTCTTGAGTTATTAGATGACCATAATGATTACCAACTGCTTAAGTCTTGTCTCTTCCTAAATTAACATATGGTCAATTCATTCACTTCCACTTGTCTTAATTCGAAATGACCCATACCGAGTGGATAAGAAATTGAGAATAAATTTAATGAGAAATTTCTCATCCATAATCATTCATAAGGTTCTCAATTTTGTAGCAACATTAGTCATCTTAAGAACATATACATACATGGTAAGAATACCAACAAAATTGCATAGTAGTGGTATAAATTAATAATTTTCGTTTTAGATAATTATATACAATACGAAAACATTCTTCTAGTCAAAATATTCCTTAACACTATCACTATGGAAAACAATTATTCACATAACTATAATGCTTAATCTGTTCGATCTCTCTCAAATTTTATGGAGAATCTTTTCTCCCTCATTGTCTTTATCAGTAATAACAGTAGGTTTCTCAATTTAAAATGCTAAATCAAGATTTAACACATCTAAATTTTGAACTCAACTTACTCATTCCATTATGAAAAGTTAGTCCTATTGAGAATTAGAACAGATGTAGCATGCGCATTAAGAGATATAATAAAACAAATATAATAAGATAAAATACTCACAACAATAATACTTTGAGTTAACAACACGTTTATATAACTTAAAAATATAAATACAATGTATAATTATAGTACCCTTTTGGGTGGCAACTATAAAATACTAATAATGATGCTTATTTGTATTTATATGTATACCTTCATTGGTGATGCATTATTTAATTAAACACATAAGTTACATTTGGATATCCTATATCTACCTAATTAAAAAATACATGCAATCCCTTCATTTTCATTTAATCACTTGAAAATCAATTCCCTTTGGAGAATTATTTCTCATAATTAAATAAACTCAATATTCATGAATATCACAAAAAATAATAAGCTTCATAATTCATGAAATATTGCAATTATGTTTACTACTAAAATTAATATTCATCAACCATTATGGTTAGGCTACTTTGATAGTTACTAATCTTTACATAATATTAAATTAGATAGTAACTAATTTATGATAATTATGTCTACTACAAAAATTAATATTCATCAATCATTATGATTGGGCTACTTTGGTAGCTACCAATCTTCACATAATATGAATATTAAATTAGACAGAGATTAATTCATCATTAAGTTATATTTACTACTAAAATTAATATTCATCGACCATTATGGTTAGACCACTTTGGTAGCTACTGACCCTCACATAATTTGAATATTAAATTAGCTAGTAACTAATTAATCATTAATTTATCCATTTAATATTATACACTGATCGATCCAAATTTAGGTACGTTCGATCCCAGAAACTTAATAGTCTAAAAATTCAATAAAAAATATCTTTTTACTTTATATACATAATAAAATATGTTATTTTTATTTTCGGACTTGAAGATCATAATTGAATCAATTTAAAATTGATTCTCCAATATGTATTGTCGTGTTCATGAGGGTCAGTTACTCTAATTTTCTCCATTTGTTTCCACAGCCTCTGCCCAAGTTGAAAGTCATCAACCTTAGTCACTCCCAGGATCCCGGACTTCACAGTTATTCCAATCCGGAGACACTGATTCTGTTGAGGTTCATCCATCCACTGGAGTTCTCAAAAGGCTTGTTTTTCTCAGCCTGAAAGACTGCAAAAATCTGAAGAGATTTCCGAATGGTATTCCCTTGGAATCTGTTGAGACTTTTATTCTATCAGGCTGCTTGAAATTAGAAAAGTGTCCAGAAATCTGGGGTGATATGGAATGTTTTTAAGAACTTTATTTGGATAGAACTGCCATTAAAGAACTGCCTTCATCAATTGAACGTCTCACTAACCTTACTTTGATAGATTTGAGTGAATGCAAATACCTTACGAGTCTTCCTAGAACCATTTGTAGGCTCCTGAGTTGTCTAACAACTCTCCCTGGGTGCTCAAAACTTGAGGAATTTCCGGACGACTTGGGAAATATAAAATGTTTGGAGGAGTTTCACACAAATAAAACTGCTATCAAACAACTACCATCCTCCATTAATCTTTTGGAAGGCCTCAAAGTCTTGTCCCTCGGTGGATGCAAGGGAACAATATCTGAGTCATTTTTTTCATCTTGGTTTTTAGCAAGGAAATGTGAAGATACTCTGTTTTTTGTGCTTCCTTCTTTAACAGGTTTGAATTAGTTAACAGAACCCCCATTGATTGCAATCTGTCTCAAGGCGGGATCCCCAGTGATCTTGGCAGCTTTACCTCTTTGAAATATTTTAATTTAAGCAGAAACAATTTTGTCAGTTTACCTGCAAGCATCCCCCGGCTTTCTCAACTTGGAATCCTCGAGTTAGTAAGCTGCAAGAGGCTAGAAGCATTACCAAAGCTTCCATCGTGCAGAAAAGAATAATATGCAAGTGATTGACAATCATTAATAAGCATCGGAGAACTTTATAAAAATAAAGGATCACTACAGTCGGTCACATTCAGTAATTGCTTTAAGCTGTTGGAGGATAAATGGAGTGAAAATGTGGTTGATATGTTGCTGAGATTTCTGTTTCAGGTTACTCACTTTCCCTCTCTCTCTCTCTATATATATATATACATTTGTGCACATCCATATATATGAATGAATGACATGTTTTCTTGGTACTGAGGCTGTGTGTTGTAAATTGTGATTTTCAGAAGTTCTTCCGATGGTGAGTCTTTGTTTGGCATGCTACTGCAGCATCAACAATAAATGATGGCCAGCTAACAAGTGCATGTTTTAGAGCGAGAAGGGTGTTGTATACAAAATATATACATGGGTTGGAATTGAGAGCTGGGTATCTTTTCTGCACCTAGTCGCTAATCCAATCATTGCTCGCCACGTCAAAAGAATGAGTTGTACATATTGTAATTTTCCTAACAAAAATTTATTTATGTGGTACATTATTTGTGTTCTTTTGGTTATGGATAGGTCTTGTGTCAAGTCAACAGCAGCATTTGGAAAGGAGTAATGTTAATTAATGCACACTAATTGTTTGTGTGTGTGTTGTTTAACGTGTTTTACTGCTAGTACTGGTATCAGCCGCATCACTATAATCATATAATGTGATATTTTAATATATATATATATATATATATTTATCTCAAGAGATGTAATGGTTTCATAGTCTTAGATAGCACCAACGATGCATTTATGAGCACATGAACAATGTTATATTGTTCATGTATGCTGTCAAGAAAAAAAAGAAACATTTAATTGCCAATTCCTTTCCTCCTGACTTCTAATCCAAAAATTTGAGATATAAAAAAAAAAAACAGAACAAATGTACATTCTTATTATACATATATAAACACAATTTCCCATAGAAGTGCTCACAATCTTTATATCCAACGGTAATTATGCAAGTGACCAAGTAAACTCCTGCAAAAAAAAAAAAAAAAAAAAATCAAATATTAAAAGAAACACATATCTATTACCCGCAACATGCTTCTATTGAAATTCGAATTATTTAAAAAAAAAGTAAAACATAATTCATAACATCCGAATTGAAAACCTTAATAATATCTTGTAACAACTTTCTTTTAGGGATAACTTCAGTTACACCCCTTGAAATATGTCCAAACTTTAAGGAGACCCCCCACGTTTGCAAAAATTCAGTCAGACCCCTGTCAGACATTGTCGACTGACAAAAACAAATAAAGGAATGAAATGACTAAATTACCCTTTTATCGTTTTCCTATATATAATAGACCAAATAGTCAATCTCTTGAACCAAACATGTTTTATAGCTCTCGGTTAGCTTTATCTCTTGAACCAAACAGTCAATCTCTCTCATCCCTCATATCTCAGTAGTTACAAAAAAACTGGGTTTGCATGGCTCGCCGGAAAGCTCGTCGTCGACGAGCACCTCCATCACAATCGGTTCCAGCTCACCGTCGTCATCCATTGTGCTCGTTGGGCAGTAGCCCGTCATTTCAGGGGAAATTTTTTGCTTCGTTTTCAACAAGCTTCACAGTTTGTAAAATGTTGCAGCACTCCTAGAATTCATAACATTCTAATCGAATCTGTAAAACTGTGTATGTGTGTGTTTACAACCAGGAACCAACTATAAAGAAACTGGAATAATTTTTAATAAAACAAAATCACCGAGATATTGATTTTGAAGTTTTCAAAGTGACAAAAATCTTTAAATCTAAAAAATTGAAAAACCTCAAATTATTCAAGTTCAGGGTAAAGGAAAAAACAGAAACATGCCAGACAATATATTAAACAAAGATAATGAATGAATCATTCTGCTCAGAAGAGGCATTAATCATAGACAATAGTCATATGTCCAGACATAATTTAGTAACTTCATCATCATTGCAGATGGATCAAAGAAAGAAACAATTCAACTAATAATTCAATGATTATAGTAATAGTCACCAAGATAAGTTTAGTTTCTAACAAACTAAGCAGAAAATATATTATAATTTTCAAAAAACACAAATAATCATTACAGAGAAGCAGGGTTGTGACTCTTAGAGACATTCCACAAGTGGAAAATGTGCAAACAATCGCAAAGAACGGCATCAGATTCAGACCGTTCGTTGGACAGTAGCCCGTCATTTCAGTGACTTGATCTCAAAGTCCTGACTCTTCTTGGAGCTCTCTATGTACACCGACAGAGTCGCAAAGAATGGCGACGACGACACCCCATCACCGCCCTCATCATCAACACCATCACCACCCTCCCTCCACGGCTTCATCATCATCTCCACCTGATCAGAACCGTACAATCTGAGCGTGCATAGACGAGGCTGTAGCATGATTTTCACCTTATCCGTCCCCGTCGATGATGCGGACGACACATCGGAGGTCCTTACCCTCTGAACCGGAACAAGAACCGCAAGTTTTTGAGACGCGAGCTCGCAGAAAACCGGTCGAGCCACCTTAGCCATTGGAGAGAATATTAGACCAAGAAAATGGGTTCGCAGAGAGACAAAGTTTAGAGAGAGAAATGGGTTCGCAGAGAGAGAGAGAGAGAGTTTTCAGGGGAATGTTTGGTTAGATGGATAGTATGTAGCCAAACATAACCGTTAAGGGGTAATTTGGGTATTAAAATTTATTTTTTTGCTGTTATTGGCAAAAAATAACTCTGACCAGCTTTGACCGTTGATTAAGAGGGGTGACTGATATGTATCAGAAAAAGTAGGGGGTCTGATTGAATTTTTGCAAACGTGAGGAGGTCTCCTTGAAGTTTGGACATACCGTAAAGGGTGTAACTGAAGTTAACCCTTTCTTTTATGAATAACAGTGTTTGAAGGCACTCAAAAATAATATAGGGCTAAAAACTCTCCTTCTCTCTCTCTCTCTTCATCTCCCATTGAAACATATTTTCAATACATGTGTTTTTAGCACTAAATAAATAAAGAGTACTGCTACTTCGTCGGATTTAAAAAAATTGATATTGCATGTTTTCTTGTTACTAAGGCTGTGTTGTAAATTCTGGTTTTATTATTCATTTACTCGGAAGAGCAAGCTTGTGAAAAGCTCATAGTCCAAAAAACATCTATCACGAACCAATTGAGTCCTCACCCATTGAGCCCAAAGGTTATGTTTATGGTTGGAAACAAGAGTCCAGATATGCTTGGTGGCAACGTTGAAAAAGTGTTCTTTTGCATGATTAGCTACCTATTGAAGCAGTTAATCCCCTAAATTATTAAAAGTTAGATTGTTAATTGCATGTAAAATGACATTTTTAACTATGTACAATGAAAAAATCTAAATAAGAACATTATCTTTATTATACATTCATAGCACCAAAGATGCATTTCTAAGAACAGTGAACAATGTTAAGGCAAGTTTAGCCCCATCTTCGCTCACCAGATTGTGGTTGGCATATTTGCTCAACAATTAGGGCACATTTTTGTTTACGGCTTTACCTTTGGGTGTGGGCTGGTTTGGTGCTCAAGGGTGTCTCTTAGGCTTTATTTTACGGCATATATACAAATACTTTACTTTTCAGGGAAAAAAAAAACACCCAAATCAAATGTGAAAATGGTGGCATATACCAAGGCTAAAATTGTAATTTGCCACCCTTGGATGCCCTTGTCAAAGCCCCGCTTGGAAGAACAGAAAAAGATCTTTCTTTGACCTAGTTTCAGGACCTCAACCATTGAAGGAATTGACCATCGAAGATCCTTCATTGAAAACAGTATAAACTCTTTGTTGACAAAGTCGCTATATTTTTTAAGCTTCTACTTCTGAACAAGGTAAGTACCAGTTTGCAAAAACAATGAGAACGGTAATGAATTTAAAATAAAGCAAAGTTATATAAAATACAAGATAGACAATACCGTCTTATATATACTATTAGAATGAAATTAAGGTACGGTGCGCCGGGCTCACTCAACATCTTCTTATCAATGTTGTCTACGAAGTCCAATGTTAGCCTATATTCAAAGTCCTATCAGGCTCAGGAGTCAAGACTATGCCTTTGGGCCCTCCATTCAGCTTACTGAAGCCCATTATTTGGACTAATCCCATGGGCGTCAAGGTTCCAGACTTTTCATTAAGACCAATAAGGCAATAAGTCTTAATTTAAAATTATTTTTTATTTAACTTCTAAACCACTAAACTTTTTAGTAATTAAGTTTCTTTCCTTATTTTAATAATTAAGTTTCTTTCCTTGGTTTACAGAATATTCCGAGCAAGTTTATTTTTGAGCAGTTTTCTTGCGCTGCTAGTTTCCTTTCAGTTTTAGAATTTCCTTTATTTAAAATACATGCACTACAGTGAAGATTATTCATTCAATTATTAATATATTATCAGATTTCTCTACTGACTTCTTTTTTTTTTTTTTTCTTCCTTGTGGATTCAAGGTACGTTCTGCTTACGTGACATAATTATGAATGCAACTACATTTTATTTCTTTTGCATATATATATAGCATAGTTAAATTGTGCAACTGTCTTTCCCCTCAAAAAAAAAAAATTTATTTTTTTATTCAACTAAACAAAATAAGAGAAAAGCCTACTATTTTATGTCATTCAAATACTTTTTCTAATAAAAATTCAATTGTATCCATCAAATTGTTTGATCAAATTAACGATCACATACACTTATAGATATACGTATTGTAATTTTTTTTAGTTTCCCTTTTCTTTTTTTATTTTTCTTTTTTTGTGTTTCTTTCAACTTTTGGGTTTAGGCCTAACAATTTTTTTTTTCTTTACCTTATGATTTCTTTATTTTCTTTTGCATGAAAAGAGCTCTTAGCCCTTTAAATTTTATTTTTCCCTTTAAATTTGTCAATAAATATATGAGAAATTAAAAAATAGTATTTTATTAATATAAATAATATGAAAACTTACATTTTATTTGATATTTTCTTTAAAATTCTTGATTATCAAATTCATTCCACAAATATTTCATGGAAAAATAGCCAAACCAACACATACTATGAAATCAGACTAGTCATAAATTGTAACCCAATTATTGATGTAATTGAACACAATTTAGATACAGATACAAGATAGAGAAGCCAGAAAGCGTGTAAGGAATAACAGGGATACTACTGTCATTTAACACCTTATGTGTGTGTGTGTGTATATATATATATATATATATATATATATCATCCCTGTCATATTAATATATCACTTAGTTCACTTTGGTTTTTTGATTCTCTTTTACTTGGTTTGAGTCGCTTCAAGAAAGTTATTGTGATTATATAGATTCATATATATTGGCTGAAATTACGATTATTCTACTCAAATATTCATATGCTTGATTAAATTCATGTAAATATCTCTTTTATTTCTTTTTCTTTTTTTATATAAATGGATAACAACAAATGTAAGTTGGCTATAGTTGGTGCAACCGAGCGTGTGCACAAAATAATGCACAACACTTTAGGTTTAGAAATAATGTCAAGTGGGCACCATATTTTAAAATTTATAAAACCACTAAACACTTATACTATGGAATATGAAGTGAGCAGGGATCGTCCCAAGAGATCTAAACAATTATAGGTTTTCCAGAATTGAATTCTACTTTAGTGCTTATGTGATTGCTAAAAAGGTTTGGTTTTGTGATTAGACTAATTTTAAGATAAACGATTTCAATAAAATAAATAGAGTTTAAGAGATTGGAAAGAGACTTAGGGGGTAGGATTCACCACTAAGCACATTCCCTAACTCACTAACTTTCAACTAATTGGGGAAATAAAATGTATAATCTAAATGTGGCTAACAATTGCAATGAAAAGTATGAAACATCAATTTAAAGCTTGAATCATTTACCTAATGACAATTAACTAAATGTAAATCAATTCACCAATTCAAAGCATGGTCCATCAATTCAGTTAGCAATTTCAACTCACATTAATCTAGAGGATAATGTAAATTGTGGCAACAAGCATGGAAATCAAACACAAGCATGGATTGTCTACTTACCTAAGAACGAAAGTACAATTAAACTAATTAAGCCTGAAATTAACTAAATTCAACAAGAATTTAACCTAATTAAATTAACTATGTAGTACAACCCATCTAGTAGAAGAAAATTCCATCAAATTAAAACACAATTACATCTAATTAACACAATGCATAGCCATCACAAGATTCAATTCACAAATAAATCAAGTGTAGAGATTAATTATCAATCAAAAACATATAAGACAATATGAAATTGACATAGATAATCAAATGAAAGAATTAATTTATATTTCAAGGCTATACAAAAATTACACAAATAAATCCCCAAAAAGTGAAAAGAGAGAGAGATTAGGTTACATGCTTAGGGTTTATCCAACCCTAAGTAGAAGATTTAGCCGCTCATAGTTGATGGATTCAAGGTGTCAACAAGTTCCATCATCTGCTTCATCATCTCTAAGCTTCTTCTCAAAACCCTAGCCTGTTCTTGCTTTTTCTCTTCTTTCGCGTGTTTTTTCAGAGAAAATATATCGATACAGATAAAAAAAAAAAAAAAAAAAAAAAAACTTAATTCATAATCTCTAATAATATTCACCTAAATAAAATAAAAACTAACCCTAATCTAATGGCTCACCGGACCTTAAGTAACAACCTTATTAAAGCCCAATAGTTCTTAGCTCATTTTAATTTTATTGCCCTGAAATACACATAAACATAAATTAGGACTAAAACATGAAATTAAGATAGATGCAAAGACTAAAATACCCTAGCTTAGGTGCTGAAATGTGCAACATTTAAGCACTTATCACGCCCCCAAACTTAGATATTGCTAGTCCCTAGCAATGAAATAAAGCATGGAAATGGAACAAACTAATAAAGCAAATAAAGATAACACCACTTTCGTAAGGATCACGGTTGCATTTAGCATATGCAACAAGCCTTTTAAACCCCTAGGTTACCCCTAGTGGACGAGTGAAGTCTCGTGAGGGTTTCCAGAAATGGTACCCACAAACATCAAAAGCTCTTTCTTACTTGAGAAGCAACAACACATATTAAACAAGTGTTGAAAGTAGACTACCTCAAGTATGCAACCATTTCTAAACTATTATCAACATTTCAACATCATGTAAGCAAAAATGGTCCTCCACACATCAATCAATTAATCATGCAAATTGAATCAATTCTATCATCCTTTTTTAGTGAACCGGCATCAAAATGTGTTGCTATCCTAGCAAATCAAAGTAATGGCATTGCCTTACCCTCAAACTAGCATACAGATATAGTACCAGACATCAAGACATTGAATGAACCTTGTTATTCAATTAAACATTTTTTTATTTTATTTTATTGATTTCATTTTTTTTTTTTTTTTTTATTATGTATGACCATGTGCAATGTCCAAGTTCCTTAAGCTCTCTAATCACCCCATGTAACAAACGTTGAGCCAACGACTCCCAAACCAGATGGTCTTAGGGCGTTAAGTGTAAAGACACTCCTAAGGGCGTAATAACTCCGAATGGTTA